TAAGGGAGAAAAAGCTTCTGAAAAATGGAAATGGGAGTGTCTACCAAGGAGGCTAAATACCAGGAGAGTGTGCTCATATGGGTGGCTTACGGAAATCTGCCTTGAGCTCCAGCTCAGAGGAAGCTTCATAGTAATAACAATTTGCAAATGTTTGCAAATAAAGCAAATTAAACATAAGCTGTCAGTGAAGAACATGAATTTTCATCACTGAATCTGTAGCATTAATGTGCTATGGCCAACGTTCCTCTGTTTAGTTCTCCAGCTCTGCAAGAGTTTGGGCTGCAAACACAGAAGTTCAGCAGCATCAGAGCCAAACTGTGCAATGAAAAGCCGAGCGAATGGCCAAAACAATATGGATTCAACCCAAAACAGCAACATTTCACCACCCATAAAATCCCTGCAAGTTTGGGATGGCAGACAGGGAGTTTGGGTAGCAACGAATCTGAGATGGTCAACTTGGATTCTGAAAACCATACATCACCCTGTAGCTGCAACAAGACGGCGTTAGGGAATGGAAACCGCTCGACTAAACAGGAGATTGAATGGAGTCGCCACCCCAAAGCAGCCTCACAAGGGGCTCAGTACGTGTCCTTAACACACCCGTCCAGAGTCAGCCCGGTTAGATGTGAAATGAGTTATTTAATTCAGCAACTTCGCATTAAAGTGCTAGAATACAACACCGCACGCACTGGAAATTAAAAAAAAATTAAGTCTCTCATTTGATAGAGAAACCTAATTTACAGTAATTATTCATGTCTGCAGAATACATATGACAAAACCGAGGGAAATTAAAAATCCTATAAATAGCCTCACTAGAGAACAGCTGGTTAGATCCCATACAATAACCAAGTATTTATACTGATCCACACGTTTCTGCATCACCAAGAAGATGGCAATTGCAACCCTGAAATTCAGTTTAGATCCATGAAAAGTACAAAAGGAGAATGAGAAGAAATTGAAACGTCGGAGCAGCTGGACCTCATGCTTCCCATTACTGCGTCAGCGCCGAAAGCTGAGGATGAAGGAAAACCCTGAATTTCAGTGTTCACCATCACTCAAGTGTTTGGTCTTTTTTTCACGGGCATATTCTACATGTGCTACGATTTATTGCTTCATCACAAGGTGTAGATGCAAACTGAAAAACGCCTTTTTCTACTTCTATGTCGGGGCCCCCAGCCGGGTGGAAGCATGGTGCTGATTGGGCACGAAGCTCGGCCACCTTCACCACCATCCTGGTTTGGGCTGAAATAGAGTTAATCCTCCTGGGAGACCCCCAGCTGGCCCCGAGCCCCAGCCCGTGCGTGCACCCGGAGCCACCTGCGCTGAATTTAAATACCTTGAGCAAAGCGCAGGCACCTGTCAACGCAGCATCTCAAAGGATGCATTAGCTGTAAGCAAACAGCCAGGAAGGCATCCTGCATTTACTTAAAAATAAACTTTTTTTTTTTTTTTTTTTTTTTTATTGAAAGAGAACGCAAAGAACTTACGAGGCTCGTGATGGGGAGGCGGAGAGAAGCCAGGCAAGGCACCACGTGTGTTTCCAGCGATGGCCGAGAGGCAGCGTGTGCTTCTGGCAGTTACAGGCAGCGAACAGCAACTTCTCTGTGAAACACAGCACATGCACACGTAATGCAACAGGCCCAGCAAAAAACAATTTCTGCCTTACCTTCCTCTACCTTCAGCTTGGGGATAAAATACCTTGCTTTCAGAATCATAGAATCGTTTAGGTTGGAAAAAGACCTTTAAGATCATTAAATCCAACCGTTAACCCAGCCCTGCCAAGGCCACCACTAAACCATGTCCTTAAGCACCGCACCTACACGTCTTTTAAATACCCCCAGGGGTGGTGACTCCACCGCTTCCCTGGGCAGCCTGTTCCAATGCTTGCCATTTCGTTCAAAACAGCACACAAAAAATATTCCAGAGCCCAGCGCAGGATGGTAATTGATGGATCAGAAGAAGAGGACAACTCCTGTTACACCATGTACTGTCTAAGTCTTGTCGACATATATTTAAACATCAAACCAGCTGCAACCTTTGTAAGAATTTTTTCTGCTTGCTGCACCTGATTGTGTCAAATATGTACACAAGAAACGTCTAGTTTATCCAGAGAACCTTTACTAAAAATAGACAGTTGTGAAAAACCATCACGGGGCAACTGGCATCAACACTACATCAAGCTTCTGGCATAGAATAGTCCCCAAAAAGGTCACAAGAATCGAGAGGGAAGCTGCCTGAGGTGAAGCAAGAAGTTGGACATCTCAACTACTCAACGAAATGATGTATTTTACATTAAAAAACATGTGTTTAGATGTGTGTGCATGTATACACATATGTATGTACATTCACGTAAATCTCTTATTCACATATCATAAATGTATATATATATGCACTGCAAACTTCCTAACATTTTTCTCTGTAAAGTTACATATCACAGACATTCATGGTAAAGAAAAATACCAAAGTTAAGACAAAACTGAATTTAAAAACATTTTTACACTCAGAATTTGTGGTATCATCAGAGACATTTCAGTAATCATAAATGTCAATTATGGAAACCAGCTTAGGAACTGACCTTTGCATTGAGCTTCCCATTGAAAATAAATTTGATTAAAAAACAAACAACCGCTGCCCAGAAAACCTTTTGTGGTTTTGCATGGGACTGATGGGAACTGATGTGTACACCTCTAAAAATTACCCTCTCAGTCCCAAGCTAAGACTCAGAGAAATGGTATTAAGGCCTTCTCCTTTTTATAGTGGCACTGTAAGTTAGCTTCCAGTAAGTAAATTCAAGCTAACTTTCAAGAAGTAAAAATTAATGGCCACTGAAAATCTGGTTTTCTCATACTGTCTAGAAACTCGGCACCACCGGATTTCTTCTTTGAGGAAAATTTGTGTTGCAAAGCCTTGTGGTATCGCTCCCAAGGCCGAGTGAAGGGATGGCATCTGGGGGGAGGTTGATCCCCGGACAGTAGCACCTAAACGACCCCCACGGATCCCGCTAGTGCCCTGGACAAGGTCTACTACAGAAGATGTGGAGGGGGTCACCTTTCCTAGCAGCTTTCTCTTGGCACCCTCCAGTGACGGAAATATTGATTTGAATGAAGTCTGACCGGGGGCCTTTGGGCCTGGAGGCACCAGGAAAGCTGGCGGGAGGATAAAGCAGCAGCAGCTCAACCCGGTCATCCCAATCCCACCATGCCCACACGCCTCAAGGCGTCGAGGTGGGGAAAGCGAACGACTCAACCGCGGCCGTTAAGGGACGGTGGTGGGGAGATGAAGAGCGGAACGGCATCCTCACCAGGTGGGGAGACATCGAAAACGCTGAGTGCTGCCTAGCGAATTCCCGCGGAAATGGGACAGACTAAAGAGACGGGTGGCAGCCGCCGCCAGCTCCCACCAGCCAGCAGAGGTTCACCGGCCTCGGGGCAGCGCAGGAGGAGGGATGCGGACTTCACAGCGGGCACCTCTCGCCCTCCGCGTGGCCGCAAGGCAACCCCCGGCCCAACACTCCCTCGACCCTTGTGAAGGCACCAGCACCACACGGCAGGCGTAGGCGGCACCACTTTGGTTACGATCAAGTAACCTGGTTTTGCAGCACCGTCTCGCATCGAGCTCTTCCGCACTAGCTCAGCTCTGGTGCGAACGACGTCACAAGGAATTCCTCTTGCCTAGGGATGCTCCGATACCACACCACTGGGGTACAAAGGGAGAGCGCACCATAGGAAAAGTTAAGTCTTCCCAGGATTGTTCACTGCTTGGAGACTGTAACTGAATTAATTAGTTTCTGGATTTGCTGAAGTCTGTTTTTACAACACCTTGAGGAGGGTAATGGTTCGTGCTGGCTGGGTTTTATACAAGTCACAGCCTAGAAGCTGTTAGACTGTACAAATGGTGACAATTTGGGTCTGAAAGTGAATTTGAGAGGCTGATTTTCAACTCCCAGTCTCACTTTGCATATTTGTAAAACACAGACATGGAGGAGATTTAGAGTTTGTACTGCAAGGCCAATTTGTAAGTGCAGCTCTCGTTTGAGGAGTCTTGCAGGGCCAAATTGTAACACTTGCATGAGCACAGGAATCTGCTAAGGACGTGTGAAAACAAACACATTATCAGAAACACAATTTATAAGCATCCAGTTGCAGACCCATGTGAAAGCCTCTCCCCCCGCTTTAGAAAGTAAATGAAAGAGAGAAAGGGAAAACTCACCAGCGTCCCAGCGCAATCTCCTGCACAGTAACAAAAGCAGTCTCTAAAGCAATTTTCAATTAAATGAAAGACTTATAGAATTAAAGTTGTAATACATTATTGATCGTCTGCAGAAAGAATATCTGATCGACTGTACCTAAAAATCCTTCCCACCTCGTTCCTCTTGATTGGAGATTACTCCAATAACAAAACAAATAGGGAATTGTAGGACAATGTCTAACAGTAAATTCTGAGACACTCTGGTAGCTGATGTTATCTTGCATTGCAAGAAAAAAGTGTGTTCACTTGATCCAAAGCGACACAATGGCTTAAGGCAAAATTATGAGAATATATAATTGGCCATTTGAGCCACTCTTCATGAGGAGGGGAATCTTTCTGCCTTTGTAACAACATCACTGTTTTACCACTGTGTAAGTCATGCTTCTGCCTGCTACTCGCATCGTGTAGCAGCTACTTGAGGTAGAAAATATTACTTAAAACTCACCTGTTTTCTGAAGTGTTCAGCAACAGATAACTTATAACTTAAAGATAAGTAAGCTATCATTATGAATATTGACAGCATACAGAGATGGATGTTTCTAGTGCTGATGTGTGTTTTATCTCAGCACTACAAACATGCAGGAACAAGCATACCAGTACGACGAAAGACTTCAGCTTTATCATGCGCTCCCTCAAAATCGTTCAGAAAAAAAGAAAGTAAGGGTACAGGTAGCCCTCTCTAGAGTGAAACAGTTCCTGAAATTCTGCAATGAGGATCAAAAGTACCAAGGAAATGTATTCATTTTCTTAGACAAGTTTTTAAAATAATATTTTATTTTTTGAGTCAGTGGTATATTTAAAAACAATCTACTGTAAGAGTAAAAAGATTGTAGATAGTAAAAAACAAGAGTGATGACAATAAAAAAATGCTAAAGTTAGTTTCCTTCCTCCCTCCCAGCACCCTGCCCCGTCATTGTCCAATATTTCTCACAGTCTAATTTCTCCAAAACAAATTGCTGCTTTTTTTTTTTTTTTTTTTTACACTTTCAGCAATTAGGAAATTAAAAATATGTAAGGCATTCTTTGCAGGTACATTAATTCATTATTACATGAAAAGCAGGCAACACAAATTAAAACATTCTAAAAACCATCATATATACAAACGCTGTACAGAATGATGGCACAAGGACAAAGTGATTCCATTCAGTCCATCCTAATCCACATGAAATATTACACATTAAAGAAGAAAAGAAAAAGCTCTTCCCATTCCTGTACTCAGCTGCTAGGTTCAGAACGACCAGGAGTCTCCTATCTGCCTACTCTCTTGCTTTTCCTCTACGTTCGTGCCCGGCCGTGGCCCAAAGGCTTCCTCGCCTTACCCACCCATCAACGCCCAGAACGGCCAACGGAACGGCCATAGGCATGACCGATCACCAACGACTAATTTTACAAAGCCCATTAGCAATCAGTTTATTTGTAACACAGAACAATTAGAAGGCACATTTCACAAATAAGCTGTGTCTGATTTTCTTTCACCCCTGGGCGGAACCGTTATTTGGGGAATTCCTACGGCAGCTTCTCCTTACTGTGAAGCCTACTCCAACGTGCACTGAATTCAGTGTGAATATCGTCATCGATTTCTATATACACTGAGATTAGGTACAAAATACTCAGCTCATTTTCAACTCCGCAGCTACCTAAATGCTTTAGGTACAAAATACTCTCATTTCAATCTCCACAGCTACCTATGTGCCTGAAGTTATTCAGAAGAAGCAGGGAGAAGGTTTAGGAAGAGGGTACTGTCAGTTGATGAACACCTCCCAGTCTCAAGTAGAAATCCAGATTTCTTTCAAGTTATGGGAGGGAAAACCCCAGAAAGAGGGGTGATGTAGTGTTGTTTCCAACACGCGGCTAGAAATGGAGTTAGAGTCATTGCACTAAATGTTAGATACTGCACGCCTGAATGAGGTAAACATTATATACCATAAAATACTTAGGGAAATGAATTGTTACAGCTTTATCTTTGGAAAAAAATGCTTCCTTCTTCACTGGACAATCCCAGAGTCAACAGATGTTTGCTTCCGAGTTGTCTTTGGAGGCGGAGGCGGGGGAGTCTTGCTGGGGAGCGGAGGTGGCAGGTGCTGGAAGAAACCAATTTTGATAGACCGTGTTAGCAATGAATGGATTTTTAAAACATGTAGTGTTTCATATATGAGTGTGAGAGACAGCAGGTAAGTCTGTAGCCATCTGCCTCCTGAAAGCTTCTCCGCAGAATTTGCTACTATGAATACCGAATGCTCTTGGCCATTACCTTAAAATATAACTTTTACTTTTGAGAATGAAAAAAATCTCTCAAGGGTTCACGATTAATTAGCTCAGTATTTCAGGAAAAATCTTTTGAGAGCACTGGAGAAGTTTATAATTCCACACTTTATATCATGATAGGGTATTGATTTCTTGGTCTGTATCGATTGCCCTCAGCCTCTATGCACTACAGAGCTCAAAAGCCAAGTTGAAGCAACAGCTTCATTGCTTTTCTATTATTTTTGTATCTTGCACATTTAGAACACAAATCATTAAAAAAAAGGAAACCATTTAAAGAGATAAGTAACTTGCAATTTAGTTATCATTACAATATTCAAACCAGAAATCCAGACTGTTCAAATATACATGTTTTAAATCACTTCATATATCATACAACAGAACAAGAGCACCCTCAGATTCACTGGCTAATTGGACAAATTTAAAAAGTCATTATGGAAATTAAGACTTCTTTTCCTAATGTTCACTCATATATATGATAAAATCTGTTCCAGAAAGAGCTTGAGAACACTGCAATTTGCTCATACACTTTCCAGTCAGGTTTTCTATGGCGTTTTGGCTATGTGGCCATTGTTTCCCTATCACTGCACTGCGGCTGTACTTCAGTGTCACAGTTCATAAATGCTGCTTCGTTTTTGATTTTTCTTACAATTCCTCCCCCACTCGGCCTTTTGTTTTCCTCCAAGCATAATGACGCTTTTTCACTTCCACTTGTTTGTGGCTCAGTGTCCCCATCCCACCTCACCCAGCCCACACTGAGCCCCAGGCTCTAACACTTCAAACCCGATGATGCACACCGACTCTGCCAAATTTCCTGAATCACCGCTACAAGAACAGTTCAAACATCTGAAATGCCTCAGAGTCACGCTGCAGGTACTGCACTTGCAACCTTGACACTCGTATTCCAACCTTCATGAATGTCTTGGACGATATAACCATTGATTTCTCAACCACGCTAGGAAACTGCTATACAAGCAACTGGTAAACCATGATAAAGTGTGTACGAAACCAGCCCATTCCTTTCAAAGATATCCAGAGCTGCTATCCGAAAAGAAGAGCGGTTCAGGGCAGACAGTTCGGTCATTCCTCTGCCGCGAGGCAGGAGCAGCCCGAAGAGCCTCCCAGCGCTCCTGCAATCTAGTGACTGGGAGTTTTCAGAGATGTGGAAGAGCAGAAGGAAAAAAAAAAAAAAAAAAAAAAAAAAACAAACCATAAAACCCAAGTAACTGAATGATGTCCTCTTTAAAGCAGTTTGAAGTTATAAATCTAGAGCTTTTAGCGGATAGTTTTACAAATCGTAGACTAAACAGAAAGGTAAGACTGCATTCTGGCAGAGCTAGGAAGGCTGGCTTTTTGCTGGAATATTTTTCCTGTACCCCACCTGGAAAGAAATACTTTCCAGTCCGTTTTACAGCTTTCCTCACTCCTGTGGTCGGGTCGGCCGTGCCCTGAGCCCGTCTCTCCATCTTGCCACGGCAAAGTCCGCCCGCTCCCCGTTTCCCCACCAACGCGGCGACGTGCGTGCTCAAACCTTCCCCTTTGGCTACAAAACGCCGTCGGAGTTCGCGACTCAGAAATCAGTTGGGTTTAATCTGCTACTGAATGAGAAACACCCCGGAGCCGGGGTGCCTCCTGCTCACCGCGGACAGGACATCCTTGGCAATGAAGGCTTTCGTGTTCACGCTCCGGCTCAAGCTCATCCTAGCTCTTTTGAAGAAACAACCAGGTTATTAAAAGGTTGGAGCCTCGAAAGGGCACTGCTGCTTGAAATGCACACTCCAAGAAAACCCTGCTGAGTAAGCAGCATTCATTTTCCAGAGCAGGCTCAAAAGCATGCCCTATTTACTGCTGACTTACAGTGGGGCAGAGTGACCTCTGAGGCATAAAACCAAGTCAACAGATAGTACGAAAAGCAGATAAAATAAGATTTTTATTTCACTAAATGCCAAACTGAAGTTTTTTGTTTGTTTGTTTGTTTTTTAATGAAAATGCCACTGCTGATCTGTCTCTTAAGTATTACAGTCAGAACTATTAAATATTATTTCCTTTACCTGACCAAATACTTTTCTTAACCTGGTATATATTAAGTTCCCTCGTGAATGCCTACTGAGGCACCTGAGTAAGAGCTGGACTGTCAATGTTACTTAGCTTCACACATTCAACTGTGATCTGCAGATTTCAAAATCTCTGAGAAACTGCTTAGCTACAGCCACGTCCCCAGGCAGGGGCTCTGGGCAACCCGGGAAGTGCTGGTGGACTGCAGAACATTGGCGTACAACATGCAAGAACTCCTCACAGAAATGACATGAATTTCATAACTAAATAAACCACGTGCCCCTCTAAAATATATTACAAACCATAAAAATTTTCTCGGAGCTTTGCTCTCAGATGGTAACTTTAACTTCGTATTTATCACTAGAAAAAACTAACTCTGCTGATAGCATCATTTGTGAAAATCCATTTGGAATTTAAGTAACAGTATATTGGCAATAATTCTCAATTCAATTAGATCAAAGGCATTTCTCAGACAAATGAGCCCTTCATATTGATCAGAGAACAATCAAATTATCCCTGAAAACCTGATTCTGAAGAACATACACAATGCAAATACAATGAGAATAAGCTAAATATATATGCCATGAATAACAAGCACAAAACCTACCAGAGCTTAGATTCTGCAAGCAAATTAGGCAGAAAGGAATAACAGAGATAGGTAGATAATTATTATAATTGAATTTACAATTTCCATTAGAAAGTCGGATAAATTTAGTACATGTTCATTTATATAATAAGCTACCAATGAATATATTAAGTAGGATGTGTAATGCTTGCCGGGGCAACATTCTTGAGAAATTAGCACGACAAAACGTGCCAATATGGAACTGGTGCAGCTCCAAATCTACCCATGACTCCAGGGCTGATGCACACACCCTTTTATTCCAGTACAGGAAGAAATTCAAGCACATTTTCTCTCTCCCTTTAATATCATACTCAGAAAATCATTATTAGGCTTATGAAGTTCATTTTTGCTACGCTTCCCCTTCGAAACTTTGAAACACAAAATAGTTTCCCTTGATTTTACATTTAATTAAGACTTGCTTTGCAGAGATCATGTTTGCGTTGCAGCAGTTAATTGTGAACCCACCAAATCTTGAAGCATGCTTTTACTTTCGATAGAGACTGCTGGTTCACATTCAAACCTGTTCTGGGCAGAATCCTTGACTCACAGGTACCTCAGGGGAAGCAGAAACCTTATGTAAAAGACACATCTGCAACACAGAAGCAATCTGTTCCTTCTGCTTCAAACATGAAATTGCTTCCATTTCTTTCTGATACAGAAAAGAATCAGGTTTAAAAACATTTGTCTCCATTCTCTTACAGATATAAACTACACCACACTATATGTGTTCAGGATGCAGTAAAATTCAATTAAGGAAGATGAAAAAAAAATGCATTTATTTCCTACTCTGTGAAAAAGCAAAATAAGATATGAGAATGTGTTAGCTTTTTTCTTTTTTTTTTTTTTTTTTTTAAACCAGAAAATACTATTAAAGGAAACAACAACAAAAACAAAGCAAAATTTGATTCCCCCAAACGGTCCTTGTGACACTGTAAGAGATTTCTTCCTGTGTAACTATGTTTCTTTGAAATTAAATGGTCATCAATATGACAAGCTATGGAGGTCCAATCAAAAGCACTTCAGTTTGAAGGATTAACAGATCTAATTAGGTCAGAAGCAGGAGAAACGAGATGAAAACAGGCTATCAGCTACACGGGACTGTGTAAATGCTTTCAAATACTGAGCTCAGAATTGCTCCTTCTTGCTTACACCGCTGCTTTTAGCTGGAGCCGAGTCACCTCCCAAGCAGCGACTTGCTTATTTAATATCTGCAATGAAAAATAACGCATAACGTGAGGTCTTGGTGGAATAACACTCCCATTCTGAGAGAGTGATAATACGCCAGCGGAGGGAATCAACACAACTCCATTAATTTGAACCAAATTACAGACAGTTTAAGCTAATTGGCCGTTCGACGCAGGGAGCAAAGTTTGACCCAGGGAGCAAAGTTACGCGGAGAATACCGCAGGTAACCGATGTAAAATTACTGTTTAAACTCTGTTGCCATACTTCATTAGAGATTCATTTGACTGTGTATCACAGCTATTAGCTGCCCTTGCTGGAGTGTGCCTTGATAAGAGAAAGTAATTTTAAGAGTTCTTCTGCAGAGGTGCACTTTGTGTGCTCCCGCCCGCCGCGTGCTCAGCATCCCCTCCCTGGGCAACGTGAAGGATCCCTTACAACAGGCAACGTCAAATTGCTTCAAATCAGTATCCCAAATTTTTATGAAATTAATGAAGTTCAGCAAGGCCAAGTGCGAGGTCCTGCCCGGGGGTCGGGGCAATCCCCAGCACAAACCCAGGCTGGGCGAGGGGTGGCTGGAGAGCAGCCCCAAGGAGAGGGGCTGGGGGGGTTGGTGGGGGGAAAACTGCCCGTGAGGCAGCCCCGTGCGCTCGCAGCCCAGAACCCACCCGTGCCCTGGGCTGCAGCCAGAGCAGGGGGGGCAGCAGGGCCAGGGGGGGGATTCTCCCCCTCTGCTCCGCTCTGGGGAGACCCCCCTGCAGTGCTGGGGCCAGCTCGGGGGCCCCCAACAGCAGAAGGACCCGGAGCTGCTCGAGCGGGGCCAGAGGAGGCCACGGAGATGCTGGGGGGGCTGGAGCAGCTCCCCTGGGGGGCCGGGCTGAGAGAGTTGGGGGGGGTCAGCCTGGAGAAGAGAAGGCTCCAGGGAGCCCTTCGAGCGGCCTCCCAGGGCTTAAAGGG